TTACCATCAGAGATATTTTATGTGCATACAACCAATACATATTCTGAGAGAGAAATGTATATACACTATTCAGTACTTTGTAACTTTTCACTTAACCAATGTAACTTTGAGATCAGTACCTCCCAGTACATAAAAAGCTAATGCTTTCTTTTTAATGGCTGCAGAGGTTACATTGTCTGTATCTGTAATAATTTATGTAACTTGTTAATGGACAATTAGGTTAGCTCAAGTAATGTTGTTATTGACAACTTTGTACAAAGGTGATTTGTCTGCTTATAAGTATCTGTAAGATAAGTTTATATATCCTGTTTTTAACTTAAGAGTGTATTTGTAATACATACTAATTTTATGAAGGATATTTTAAGCCATAGATAATTCTGAGGTTGAGTGATAATAGGAATAATACCAGTCATTATTTATACAGTTATCTCATTCTTATTTTAATGGTGGGAACGTAAAGTTATTTAATTGTAGGATTTTTCCTCTCAAATTTTAATAGCACTTCTACTATGCCAGGAATAACAAATTGAAGAGGAATGGAATCACATTCATTGTCAAAAAGAGCATTTCATGATCTATCATGAAGTACAACACTGTCAGTGATAGAATAAGCTCTGGTGGCATAGTGCCTAAAACATTTGACTGCTAACCAGAAGGCTGGCATTTCAAACCCACCAGCCACTCCTTGAAAGGCAGGTTGAGCAATCTACTTCTGTGTTGATACCACCTCAGAAACCCAAGGAGGGGTCGCTATGTGTCAGATCCAACTCGATGGCAGTGTGTTGTGTTGTTTTGTACAGGGAAGACTAGTTAATACTACTACTATTCTATTTACGTACCAACCACTAACCACTAAATGAAGAAACTGAAGATGCTTACCAAATTTTGCCATCTGAAGTTGATCAAACATGCCATTAGATGCATTGATAATTATTAGTGATTCAGATTTGAAAGTTGGATATGAACAAACATTGATAGTTGGAAAATATGGCCTTGGTGATAGAAACAACACCAGAGATTGCATAATAGTGTTATGCAAGACCAATGACTTACTCATTACAAACACCTTTTTTCAACAGCGTAAACAGTGACTATACAAATGGACCATAGTGGATGGAATACTCACTGCTGTCAAGTCAGGTCTGACTCATAGCAAGCCCTCCTTTGGTTCCCAAGGCGATATCACTGTGGAAATAGATATAATCAGAGTGCTTGGCTGCTAACCCAAATTTAGATACCATCTGAAGAATAGAGTTCACAAATTGAACACTAATTTTAGTTGTTGGATGACAGCAAGAACATGAAGAAATTAAGAAAGCAAAAGGCCATTAAAATGATTGGAAAAAAAGAAAAGACCTAAATAAATGTTAGATTCTTGTTGTTGTTACATGCTGTGCCATTTTGCTTGCTGAGTGTGGGTTTGTCAGCCTCAGCAGCCAGCAGCTGCCTGAGTTAAGAGATATATCCAGCTCCAGTGGGCCAGGAGGAAGAGGCAGTGTGAAGCCCAAGCTCAAGGAGCCTTCACCCAGCCCCTAGAGCTGGCACTTTGAACTCAGATTTCTAGCCTCCTAAATTGTAAGAGGATAAAGCCCTGTTTGTTAAACCATCCTTCCAAATAAGATAGTAAGATTTGTCATTTGAATTCTGATATTTATTGTTTGCAGGACAGGTAGATGTATATATTCCCAGTGTCTGAAATCTAGTAGCAATGTGCATTTTCCTTAGATGAAAATTCAAATTCTTTTTCAGTTTGAGAGAGTTATGTGGAAGATGCAGGAGAAAGATGTGGCAGTCTGCTTTCTTGAAGATTAATGCCTGTCGTTGTTGTTGTTATGTGCCATCGAGTTGGCCCCAACTCATAGCGACCCCTCCTTGGGTTTCCGAGGCAGTATCACTATGGAAGTAGGATTGCCCAACCTTCCTTCCGAGGAGTGGCTGGTGGGTTTGAACCGCCAGCCTTCTGGTTAGCAGTCAAGTGCTTTAGCCTAGGAACCTATAAAAGGCATTTCCACTCTGTCCTATAGGGTTAATATGAGTTGCGATTGATTTATGGCAACAGGTTTTATGTGAAAGCAGAAGAGTCCTTTAGACTAACAAATTCTACGAGTCTCCATTATTTAAAAAAAAAAAAAAACACCATCCTTCCATATTTTTTGTTATAGCAGCACTAGACAACCATACATGGCAACATGATTGAAGGAAGAGCCATTAACGGTCTGCGATATGCACGTGATACAACCTTGCTTGCTGAAAGTGAAGATGGCTTGAAGTACTTACTGGTGAAGATCAAGAACTTTAGCCTTCAGTATGGATTATACCCCAACAAGAAGAAAAGAAATCCTGTACCTAAGCAGCATCACAATTAATGGAGATAATAATGAAGTCATCAAGGATTTAATTTTACTTGGATCCATAATCACTACCCATGGACACAGCAGTCAAGAAATCAAAGGACATAATGCCTTGGGCAAATATGTTGCAAAAGATGTCTTAAAAGTATTATAGAGCAAAGATGTCACTTTGAAACCTAGGGAGTGCCTGACTCAAGCTGTGATATTTTCAGTCCCCTTATATGCATGTGAGCATAAGGAGGCCTGGTGGCATAGTGCCTGAGGAATTTGATGGCTAATCAGAAGGTTGGAGGTTCAAACCCATTAGCCATTCTGCAGAAATTAAGACTGGGCAATCTACTTCCGTAGAGATTTACCACCTCGGATACCTAGAGGGGGTCACTATGAGTCGGAATCACCTCAATGGCAATGAGTTTTTGTTTGTTTGTTTTATATGCATGTGAAGCTGGACAATGAATAAGGAAAATCAAAGAATTGATGCGTTTGAATCAGTGTTGGCAAAGAATATTGAATATACCATGGACTGCCAGAAGAATGAACAAATATGTCTTGGAAGAAGTACATACAGAATGCTCCTTAGAAGCAAGGGTGATGAGACTTATGTACATTGAATATGTTACCAAGAGGGGGACTATATCTGGAGAAGGACATCATGCTTGGTAGAGGGTCAGCAGGAAAGAGGAAGATCCTCAAAGAGATAAATTCATACAGTGGCTACAACAGTGGGCTCAAATGTAGCAGTGATTGTGAAGAAGGCACGGTCCCAGGCAGTGTTTTGTTCTGTAGTACATAGGGTCTCAGTGATTCAGAACCAATTCCTTGATTCCTAACAACAGTAACTTTAAACTTTTTGACAATATGACTTTAAATTAATCTTAATGTTATCTTAACATTAGGTTAATATAAATACTGCTAACTTCTAAATTAAAGCATTAAGTTTAACGTAATAATGAATGAGTAATTCTGGAATGTATTTCTGAATTGTAATTTACTAATATTACAAGATAGTTGTGGAGCTATAGGTTTTGTGTAAATGTGGAAGGTTTGGGAATATTTCCCCATTAAAATTTTTAACATTGTTGTGCTCTAGAAGACATAGTTTTTAACTGCCAATTTCCTAGGGATTCTCGCTGATATTTAAGTATTTATTGTACAGTGTTAAGTTATATCACTGTCATTGTACACAGATTATGACACCATTGATGTTAATTAATGATCATTACTAAAGTTTACAAAAGGTAAATAAGTACACAAGTATCCTCATTTTCAGATTGTTAAAATGAAGTTTAGAGATTTAGTAGCTGGACCAAGGTAGCATAAATAATAAATGATAAGATCTGGACTAAAACCCAGGTCTTTCATCAAAGCTATGCCCTTGGCCATTCTGCTTACTCCTTATATAGGTGTAGCTAAGGGGATTGCTGAACGGTCTTCATTCTTTGTGTGCTGTTCCTTTGGCTTAGAATGACCTTTCTCAAACCGTCTTAACTTAGTGCTGTAATATCTTAGTTGAGGGTGTCACTTTTGGAGGGAAGTGTTCTATAAGCCACCTGTCTACATTAACCCCCTCTTTTATAGGCTATCATATCCCCTTAGACCTTTTAATCACACTTGTCACTGTTGCAGTTTTGTATTTGTTAGTGTGAGATTATTTTATAACTGCTCATCTTTTAGATTGTAAGCTTCATGCAGGCAGAGACTGTTTACTTTTGCTTATCATAATACGCAATTGTTAAGTGCCACAAATACTGGGCACTTGATAGTTGCTGTGTGGTAAATTAAATGGTATAGCTTTTCTAGCCAGTCTTTATAACTCCCACTTTGCCATGAGCAGCTGAGTAGCTGCTTGTTGAAAGTCATCCACCTGAAGCAGCACAAAGCAATGTTCTGGGAAGTTTGCTCTCTCTCAGGTGTATAGAATTCTGATATTGGGATTGGTTAGTTTTGCCAGTCTGCCAGGCTTAAAATGAGTCCTCATAGAGGCAGAGGAAGGAATGTCTCTGATGGCTGGCTGAGAGAGACACACTACAGAGAGAGAGATGTGCTGCAAGAGAGAGATGCACTGCTGAGAAACAGCTAGCTGAGAGAGACTGAGCTTGTTCCTGAACTTGAACTGTATCCTGTTGCTTCCCTAATAAACACCGTAATCTGTGAGTTCAGTGTGGCCACTGCAGTGAAATATTGAACCCAGCAGAGGTGGTGGATGCCGCGAGAGGGATGGTTGGTGTCATGTCATGGTTAGTAAGAAGGCTGGAGGATGGTGGCATGTCTGGCCTTATAAGAACAGGCCTTGGGCTGCTGATGGTGATTCTGTCTTCCTCTTGTGGAGTTAGAGGAGGTCAAAAGATAGCACCTTCCTGTTCCTTTAGCAATAGTGAAATGAATGAGATAAAGGGCTTTCTGTTTGACATTGTCATCACTACTAATAACCTTTCATACTTTTTAAAATCATAGAATGTTAATATATATTTTAATGGAGAATCAGCTCTATTTTAGGTCTTCATCAGTAAACTGAATATGTTGGTAATAAACATTTGTTACTGTTTGTTTGTTTCCCCAGAAATATAATGAAAACTACCATTGCTACTTTTGAGGTGCACATTTTGAGAAAAAGAATGTTTTGTAATAATTTAATTTTTCTCTTTCCAGTGTTGAAGGACTCCATGCTATTGTTGTGTCTGATAGAGATGGAGTACCTGTTATTAAAGGTAAGCTAAGCACTTAATTACAATTGTCACATTTACTTTTGACTAAATATGTGTGTGTGTCTATCTAGTAGTAGTAAAGAAGGAAGCATATAAACCCCTAACAATAAATTCAATATATGGTATTAGTTTCAATGTTTTATTTTTGTATGTTGAGGGCTGAATTGGCATGTATAACTTATGACGTGTCAAGTATCATGTTAACCTATAGGATTTAAGCATGGATTTATCACAGCCCCAGTTTCCCATTAATATTGATGGTATATTGTAAAACATTAATAAATCTGATGAGACTGAGCATGTAAGTAATTATATATATATATACACACACACACACACACACATACATACACATACACACACATACACCCCTCTCATTTTCTCTTTTTAATCAGTAGTTCTGTTGCAAGTAGTTAACAGGATAGACTTTCATATGTTTGACTCATCATACATTGATTTATTTAATCTTTGTTGATTTCCTGCTTCCCTACTAAAAATTATTTAATTACTTAACCAGAGTCTAACAGTAGTTGGCGTAATTTTCAACCTTTTTTAAGAAGTGTACATAATGTCAAAGAATCAGTCAGTGTGGATTCAGACCATTTTCACTAATTATTTCTATGACATGGCATGATCATAATGAATGTTTGCCGTTTTAAGGCAGTTATATGAGACATTGTAATAATTTCATCAAACGGAGATTAAATAATGTTCTGGATCCTTGTTTACAATTTATTTTCCACCAGGGAGCTCTGGTAGTATAGTGCCTAAGGCATTTGACTGCTAACCAGAAGGCTGGCGGTTCAAATCCACCAGCCACTCCTCAGAAGGAAGACAGGGCAATCTACTTCCATAGTGATACCACCTCAGTAACTCAAGGAGGGGTCGCTATAAGTCAGAGTTAGGTTTTTTTTGATTTTATCACATAAGTCAGATAATTTTAGATTTTAAAATTGGAAGGAAGTTTAGAGGTTGCCTAACTTAGTTCTTTTCATTTTATAAATGAAGATGTTGAAGTGCAAAAAGTCTGCATTGCCACATTGCCAGCCCAGCATTGGACATGAATCAGTGACAAGACAATATTAGAGCTCATCATCTCCTAATGTCACGTGGTCCAGTATGTTTTCTGACCTATTATAAAACATGGGTAACTGTGGACAAGTCATTTGACTTTTCTTGGTTCTGTAATGAGAGCTTGAGCAAAATAATAAAAAAAAACCAAAGTCACTGCTACCAAATTGATTCCAACTAATGGTGACCCCATTTGGGTTTCGAGGTGGTAAATCTTTACGGAAGTAGATTGCGCAGTCTTCCTTCCACGGAGTGGCTGGTGGGTTTGAACCACCAACCTTCTGATTAGCAGTCAGATGCCTTAGGCACTACACTGCCAGAGCTCCTTTCAGCAAAATAATGTCAAAGAGATTTTCTAGCACTAACATTCTCTATAAAGAGCCCTTGGGTGCATGTGCACATTTAAGTTCTTGGCTGCTAACTGAAAGGATGATGATTCAAAGCCACCAGTTGCTCTGTGGGAGAAAGATGAGGCAGTCTGCTTCTGCAAAGATTTACAGCCTTGGAAACTATGGTGGGGCAGTTCTAGTCTGTCCTATAGGATTGCTATGAGTCAGAGTTGACATGAGGGCAGTGAGGTTTGGTTTTGATTTTTTTAACATTCGTTCCCAGGATGGATCTCTATATTAAAACCTTGAGCTCTGCACTTAATAGTACAGTAAATTCCATTTAGCCCTTTCAGTGAGTGGGAGAAACTTAAAATAGGTAGTCAGCCACAGGATTTTTCATATCTATGAGAAACACTGCTGTGAATTTCATGAGAGCAAAGATGTTTATAACTTTTTTCATCATTTTATTCTAGCTTGTTCTCAGTTAATGAGAATATTAAATGTATTGCTTAATCTGTGCTTTAAGTAGATGTCAAGAAAATTTAGACATCATTGTTTCTTTTAAAGAAATTGTGAGTGTAGGTATTTCTTCCCTTAGTTACAGTCACTGAACTTCTCTGATTGAGCAATTTTTCCCACCTAAATTGAGGAGACCCAGTCAATGTTATTTTTAGAATTATGACACAAGACCTTTATACACAATTTTTCATTGGTTTATAGAAAAAGAAGGAAAAAAAGAGAGGCTGTAAATCTTATATCTACCATATGTATCCTCTGTATAATATTTATTTAAATAATTTTGTCCACCAGTGGCCAATGATAACGCTCCCGAGCATGCTTTGAGACCTGGCTTCTTATCTACTTTTGCCCTTGCAACAGACCAAGGCAGCAAACTTGGACTCTCGAAAAACAAAAGTATTATCTGTTACTATAACACCTACCAGGTAGGTTCATAAATATTAAATTGTTTGCTGATTTTAACCATCATTGTTGTATCTTGTATAGAAAATACCTTGCAATATTATTTTAAATTCCAGTTTTAGAGATGGTGGAATTTTAATTCTTAGCCTTAGTTATGTTGAACTGTAGTAATTTTCTTTACATTTTATAGCAGAAAATAATTAATATGGAAAAGTATTTAAAAAGATTTAATAATAAAGTATATCTTACCCTAAAAAGAATAAGTGAGGTCACTTTTACCTCCAGTAGATGGTGCCCTTAGCTAAACTGTGATTTCTCAAATGATACACTTTTTTGGTTTGTGGCAGATAAAACTTTTCCCTTGAAAGTCAAATGATCAGTCCTTTAAATTTGTTATTGATGCTTATTCCTTCATTTGGTTTGAAATGTACATATATTAAATGAGGACATTTTTGGTGGGGAAGCAATTGTTACATATAGATTTCCAGCTGCATTTTCTTGTTTAGAATAAATTAGTCCCTTCTGCGTTAGACCATTGTTTCTCAGAGTATAATTCATGCACTACTGATGCATACAAACAATATTTTTTTTTTATTTTAAAAGTTACATATTTTAAGTGTATTGGGAAAAACAAAATAACCAATACATCTGACCTTTAATTTCCCAGATACTGCATATATACTATTAGTAAAGTAGTACAAATGAGGTAGAAAAAAATCATGAAGATACAGCTACTTGCTTTTAGCCATGTAATATTTACTAAGCCTAGTTTATAATCGACACTTTGCCTTTTGAAATTGACTATCAGTTTGCCTATATATGCTGCCAACCCCACAGAGATTGGTAGACAGAAGAAGGAAGGAGAAAGGAGAGGGGAGAAGCAGCAGAGAGAAGAGAAATGAGGAACCTCCTGAAGGAGCTGTAACACAAGTCAAAAGCTATAGCACTGAAGGCAGCAGCCTGCAGCTGGGAATGCAGCAGAACTGCTACTCGGGTCTGATAGCATTAGAGAGGCTGAAGGCAGAGAGGCCTGTCCTCAGGGTCAAGAGGAGGTTTGCACAGCAGAGAGCAGGGTCTGCATGCTTGCCATGGTCGAGAGGAGCTGAGAGAGCTGTCCTGCACTGAAGAAGGGAGGGACACTTAGGAGGGGCTTCCCAAACGTTGCCCGTGTGCTTTCTGATCCATATTTTGAGTTGTAGTCTTTTTATCCTGATTCCAAGTTGTACCCTGTTAACTTCCTTAATAAATCACTGAAGTATGGGTATAAGTTCTTTGTGGCTGCTGCAGTGAATTATCAAACCCTGCAGGTTGCTGTGGGGAGGATGGCTGGTGTCAGAATTAGTGGAAAGGATGGAGAGAGAAGGTATGTCTGACTTCCACCTTATGGGATTCAGCTTTTGGCTAATCTTGATCCTCAGTATCCCTCCTGAAGTTAGCAGATTCTGATGCTATGATTACTGTCATTTACAAAGAGGTCATCAGTTTTTCTGGTTTTGGGAAATACTTAATCTCATCCATGTTTCATGATGCTAGGCTGGTATCTTACACATTAACCTTTTTAAAACTTTGAAGATTAAGATATCATATGAGTTACACTACCTTTTTACAACATAACTTATAACATAGATTTGTTTTCCTTTTTAGGTGGTTCAGTTTAATCGTTTACCTTTAGTGGTGAGTTTCATAGCCAGCAGCAATGCCAATACAGGTATGCTTTAATTACCTTAAGTATGGCTTTCAGTTCTTTATATTACCATATCTCAGCAGTCAAAATCAATAGGAATAGTAGATTGAGACTCATAAAACCAGAATTTGTGACGAACTCCACCATCTTTTTTCCTTACTCTAGGGTAAAGTGACTTGACTTCTTTGAGTCCTACTTTCCCTATCTGTATATTGTAACTAATATGCATTCTCCATCTTAAGGGATTTTTTTTTTTCTAATTAAGTACAACAGTAAGGGGAAGTGATTTTTTTACAATTGAAGGAAAATTAAATGGCTACCTTCAGCCCTTGAGTGCTATATCTTGCTCGCATTACCACAGCTAAAGATAGCAGTATGATTAAGGATGAGGTCAGTTCCATATAAGGAACTTACATAGTGTCATGGTTAAGGCATTTGGCTGCTAACCAAAACGTTGGTGGTTCAAACCCACCAGGCGCTCCAAGGGAGAAAGATGAAGCAGTGTTCCACCGTAAAGATTTACAGCCTTGGAAACCCAGTGGAGGTTGCTATAAGTTGCAGTTGACTCTTAGTAGTGAGTTTCATTTTGGTTTGGGTCAGCAGTCCGCCACCAAAGCTCCTAAAAGATAGTAAGCAACATGAATGTGATTGAGCATTTAATTTTAAAGATCACGCACGTGTAATAGGATGAACACGTCTGCGCTCATGCACCCTTTTTTATTTTTTTTAGTGTACTTTTGATTTCTTAAAAAATATTTTATTGTGTTTTTGGCGCTCTCGTGCTTTTTAAGGGCTGAAGAATTTGAAAACAAATGCTAGGAAACTACATTGTATAGAAGACAGTAAAATCCCATTACACCTACTCCTCACTTACCAACTGCCTCGTTATCTGATGTTTCTCACAGCAGTAGTAAAAAATCTGCTATCTATTTTTCTCATTGATACCATACATCTGGCAGTAACATGCTGAGGTGTGAGGTAAGAGTGATGCTGCCTGTGATGCTTAAGGTCGTGTGTCAACTTGGCTGGGCCATGATTCTCAATGATTTGGCAGTTATGTAATGATCCTCCATTTTGTGATCTGATGTGGTCAGCTTCCATTTTTGCATAATACTGGTTTTCAGATGACAATCTGGTCTTTGGAACCTAAGCATGTTGATAGGTGAGAAGTGGGTATACATACAATACCCATCACTGGATATTTATGTGTATAGTTGGAAGCTCTGGTAGCATAGTTTCTAAGGCACTTGACTGCTAACCAGAAGGCTGGTGGTTCAAATCCACCAGCTATTCCTCGGAAGGAAGATGGGGCAATCTACTTCCGTAGTGATACTGCCTCGGAAACCCGAGGAGGGGTCACTATGAGTCAGGTCCAACTCGACGGTGCATAACAACACCAACAACAGTTATGAACGTATTCAGGTGAGTTGTGATCATTTATTCCTTGTTGGCTAAAGCAGAATTTATTTTAAGGTCTGTCTCCTAAGACCTGACTAATGTTTAGAATTATTATACATTTCTCTTTTTCTGGGTTTTTGTGTTTCTTTCTTTCTTTCCAAAAAGTTTGAACAAGTTCTAATCTTAGCTAAGTCACTGAAACCTGTCCTCATATTCATCTTTAAAATGAGTTTAGATTTGATAACCTGTTAGCTCTCTTTCATTTTTAAATTTTTTAAAGCTCTAAAACATGCAAAAACATTTTGTAAAGTACATAGTAGTGGTGGTGTTAATATTATAAGTGTATTAAAATTGAATTGTGATAAATTGCTGATCACCAACATGCTTGTTCGCCAATTGTGATAAATTGTAGTTATATGTGGAATGATATTTTAGTACTTAGAACCTGGCCCTGAGAATCCAAGATACTTTTAATATTTTTCTGTGAGACTGAGGAAGGATTTTTATTTGTTTGAACACAGAGCAGAGGCACTAATAGGTATATACTTTGACTCTGGTAAAGAGACGCTACATCTTCTAATTTTGAAAATAATTTGTCTCCCAGATTTATCATTGGATTTCTTTTTAAAAATTTGAGTGATATTTTATGCTCCTACCATCTTTGAAGGAGCACTGGTGGTGTAGTGTCTAAGGCATTTGACTGCTAACCAGAAGGCTGGCTGGTGGTTCAAATGCACCAGCCACTCCTTGAAAGGAAGGCTGGGCAATCTACTTCTGTGCAGATACCTCCTTGGAAACCCAAGGAGGGGTTGTTTTGAGTCAGAAACAACTCAATGGCAGTGAGTTTTTTTATTATTATTATTCATCTTTGAAATTACATATTTCATTTAAAATATCTATTTATGCCTTGTCTTTGTTGAAATTATAAAATAAATATCTGATTATTCTTTTGCTCAAAATCAGAGAAGCCTATCTAACTTTTGTTAGTCCTTTAAAATTTGCTTGGGGAGAAAAAGTATTCCTTCTCTAATAAAAATCAAGTGTGTTATTTCTGAATTAATACAGATTTTGAAACAGGTATAAAATCCAGTTTTTTCTTTTCAAAACTTTTAACAAAATTATAGTAAATATAATTCGTTCTATATCTTAGGCACAGACTTTTTCATCTGTCCATTTTAATAATGATAAAAACAAACTTCATAATAAATATGAATTTTTTCATTACTTTTTCAGAATTATAGTATTTTGTTTTAGATATGGGGTCTAAAATATGTCTCATGCTTTTTAGTAACTAAATTTTGGCAAGAAAGCATTTAATTTGAAGACTTTGTCAGGAAAATTTTTCTAACTTTTTCATTTTCTTAATCTCTTTGTTTTAGGATTAATTGTCAGCCTAGAAAAAGAACTTGCTCCGTTATTTGAAGAATTGAGACAAGTTGTGGAAGTTTCTTAATCTGACAGTGGTCTTGCTGTGTATGTTATCCTCATTAAACCACACATAGTATCAACTCAGCAATCTCTAAACTACAATAATACTTGTATCTGTGTACTCGAGAAAGGGCCCTCTCTTCCACCTTAAAAGAAAGAGCCTATAGATATAATTTCTGGACAGACTGATTGTTATATTTCCTTGTTTAGCCTTTTGTTATTTAGTGAGATCTCGGAATACCACAAAAATGGTTCAGGCTTTCACAGCTCCCATGGAGTTAAGTTAATTCAGTCACCAAATACAGATGAGACTCTTCAGTGGATCAGAATCAAAATGGTACCTTGATCCACTTGAACCATTAAGTGCTCTCTATTGTAAAATATGCTCAGGCCTGCAGAATGAAGCAGACCCTTTCTATTGTGAATAATAATAAGGACATATTTTTCTTCATATTATGTTTTATTTCTTTGCATTGAATGTGAGGAAAATAAAATGGATCAGCAAAATTAATAAAATCAGTACAATCACTAACTTTCCTATGTATATATTATTTTTCAGTATAGATGACTAATTGATTTGATTCTTCTCAGAGGGTGCTGCTCTTTACCTAAAATTCAAATTATAACTAATATTTTCCCCCCACTCTGCTGTCTATAACCAATCAGTGTTATAATGTTTGTGTGTTCTTTATAAAATTTAGATGTGATTCAATATCAAATTGCTTCCAATATTGATATGTATGTAAACATGATACTACAACTTTTTTTCATACATGAGTATAAATAAAATAGTATTTTTAAAAGCATAGTTTGTGCACTACTTAGGTCTTTTTTTCTCTAGACTTCTTTCTTCTAAAAGTTTACAAAACGTTATTAACTTAATTTACTCTTTCAGCCACATGACCAAAAATACAAATCAAACTCACTGCCGTCGAGTCAGATCTGACTCAAATCAGATCTGACTTACAGTGATCCCTCCTTGGATTTCCGAGGCAGTATCACTACGGAGTAGATTGCCCAATCTTTCAGCCACATAAATAAGTAGTAAATGCTCCCTGTCGATACTGATTTTGAGACTGCTTTCCCTAGTGTAAACTGTCAGCTAGAACATAAACCTCATCCATGAGCCTAATTAATCTCCACAAAAGAATATAATATGATCTTTGTTTTCAGTAATGCAGTTCATTATTTAAGGTTGTTAATTTCCACATAGATACTTTAGTGATGATAGTTTGTCACTGGCAGTTCAGAACACATTTATTGAGCACTTACTATGTGCCATGCACCAGAGGCACCACATTGCACATTTCTAAAGGCCGCTATCACATCTTATTTCTGTGCTCTGGGAGTTGCCTTTCACATGAAATGTGTGTAAATGGTATCTTTAGAGTAGTGCAGTGAGGGAGCTGGCCAGCACTGTACTTTTTTTTTTAGAGATACTAAAATGAGAGTTTGTTTTTTTTTTTTTTGGTTTGAGTTGCTGTTGTAGTTATTAATAGTGTTCTTTTCACTTTCAAATGACCCATTTTAGACAAGAGATTACATTTGTTGTTGTTGTTATGTGCTGTCGAGTCAGATCCGACTCATAGCAACCCCTCCTTGGGCTTCTGAGGCAGTATCACTATGAAAGTAGATTGCCCCATCTTCCTTCCAAGGAGTGGCTAGTGGATTTGAACCGCCAGCCTTCTGGTTAGCAGTCAGGTGCCTAGCCACTATGCTACCAGAGCTCCCAAGAGATTACATAGTCACCCCAATCATAGGAGATAAATAAATAAACTATATTTGCCCAATGGAAGAAAAAATAATACTGCATTAGGTACTAAAATGGAATGATTACCAAAACATAATGTTGATTGAAAAAAGCAAGGTGTGGAACAGTGTGCAAGTGTGCAGTATGATAAAAAAAATTATATATATATATATATGGGAGCTCTCTCTATATATGTATTATACATACATACATACACACACACACACACACACACTTAAGGCACTTGACTGCTACCAGAAGGCTGGCCGTTCAAACCCACCAGCCGCTCCTCGGAAGGAAGGTTGGGCAATCTACTTCTGTAGTGATACCACCTCAGAAACCCAAGGTGGGGTCACTATGAGTCAGATCCAACTCGACAGCAGTGAGTCTGTTTTTTTTTGGGGGGGGGGGTGTATGTACATATATACATATATAATAGACTCTCTGAAAGGATACACAGAAGAACCTGGTAACACTAGCAGCCTCCAAGGAGTGGAACTATGAGGGAGTGAGACTTTTCATTATAAACTTTTTTATACTATTTGCATTTTGAAGTATTAAAAATATAATGTTGTGGTTACCTAGTGCCACTCTGACAAGAATATACCACAAATGGGATAGCTTGAACAAACGAGTTTATTCTCTTACAGTTTGGAGGCTGCCAAAGGGATAAGTAGGCCACATCTTCAGACCTCCTCTAACCCCACAAGAGGAAGACAGAATCACTATCAATAACCCAAGGCCTATTCCTGTGAGGCCAGACATGCTGCCTCCCTCCAGCCCTTTCATCAACCCTGATAGCAACCATTTCTCATACAGCACCCACCACCTTTTCTGCTGGCTTCAATAATTCGCTGCAGTGGCCCCGGAACTCACAGATTATGGGGTTTATTAGGGAAGCACCAGGCTACAGTTCAAGTTCAGGAACAATGCTCAGTCTTTTTCAGCCCACCATCTCTCAGCCAACAGTCTCTCTCCCAGCAGTGTGTGTCTCGGTGTTCTTTCTCAGCAGCACATGTCTCAGGAGAGCATTTCTCTCAGCAGCACATCTTTTTCAGCCAGCAGTCAGACTTCGTCTGCCTCTAGGAGGGCTCCTTTTGAGCCTGGCAGAGTGGCCAAAATAACCAATCATAACATCAGAATACTAAGCACCCAAGAGAGAGCGAAATTCCCAGAACATTGGTTTGTGCCGCTTTCAAAAGAAATACCCCAGGTGGATAACTTTAACGGTTAATCAGGAGCTCCTCAGTTGCTCATGGCATATTCCACCATGGAGTTTACAAAGACTTATGGCTAGAAAAACCATACCAGGTAACTTACTACACACACAGGCTTTAAGTCCGTGATCAAAGTGCGAGGCTCTAGGGGCTGAGTGAAAGCCCCTCAACCTTGGGCTTCAGCTATGCCTCCTGCTCCCAGCCCACTGGAACTAGAGGCTTTTCTTCACTCAGATAGGTACTGGCTGCTGAGACTGACAAACACAAGGTTGACAAGTAAAAAGGCACAATCCCGATGTTACCAAACCACACAGCAGGACATTAATTCAAGTCTATTAAAAGTCCTAAGATCGGCAGAGCATGGAAGGCGGCTGAACAACTCAGCTACATGCAGGGTTCAAGTGTGCCATAAGCAAGAGACCATTCCCCAAGGGTTCTCCTTATATACAAGAAGCAGACCACATCCCTAAAGCATATACTCAGCTGGTCACAGTAGATTGAACTATGGAGTTGATAACCAGTCTCATCATGGGGAATAGCTACATCCAGCTGCCCAGCCACTCAACCAGGCCCAGCCAAGTTGACACATAAACATAACTACCACAATTCTACCCCTTGTCAACTTGGCCCCTGTACAGATCTTCAATGGGTGGCTCTAGTCCCCTAGATCCTGAGTGGTGACCTCACCCCCTTGGCCTGGCGGCCCCATTCCTCTCCCTCTTGGGCATGGCATCCCTGCCCCCTCGCTCTTGGGGAGCAGCTTGACTCAATCCCACTGGCTCACAAGAATGAGCAGCCCCACACTCCAGAACCAAGTTGGTGAAGGTCTGGCTCTTTGAAAGCTAGGGGACTGTGGTGGTTCCATCCGTGTGTTAGACTGGGTTCTCTAGAGAAACAAAAACCAGCAAAGCTTATATATATATATATATATATATATATATATATATATATATAGGAAATTTATCTTAGGAAAATGGCTCAACACGTATAGAAGCCAGCAAGTCCAAAGTTTTCTTGGATCAAACATCAAGCTGGAGGCTTTTCCCCACTCCCTCAACTGCAGGGGCCAGGGAGCTCAAGACTGGCAGGTAGTATACTGGCTGTTGACTCCAACGAATGATGAATCCAAGATCTCCAGGCTGAATGGTGAACTGCTTACTCATGGACAGTGGTAGGCAGCACAACAGAATCCCGATCCACAGAAGAATATGTCTCTTCCCTGGATGTCCCTGGATATACTGGAAGCAGGCCACACCCTGAGGGAAACTCCCCTTCAACAGATTGGCCATTCAAAACACAGTCATCTGATACCATCATGGGAACAACCACACAGGACTGGGGTCCAGCCAACCAGCCAAATTGACACACAGCTCCAACTATCACAATCCCCAAAGGTCATGGTCCTATCCTTGAGGCTGAGACAGCTCTGCTTCCTGTTTCCTTGGTTTCTTCACTTCTGCCGATTAATGCTTCAAAAGTACTCAGCTTTCATGCTTCGTGGGCCAGCCAACCTGCTACTCCATTTCATGCTGGTCTCGTCTACCAATTAATGCCTGAAGGCAACTCACCATGCCAAGAAGCTGCCTGCCCAATGGCACCTGGCTTTCTCCTGTGGGCTGGTAAGCTTATTGCTGTTTAATGCTGGTCTCTGGGCTCCGCTATTGCCATCTGTCATGCTGGTCTCTTGGCTCTGTTGCTGCCATCTCTCAGGCCACAAGTCCCAAGATTGGCAGAGCATGGCAGGCGGCTGAACAACAACTTAGCTACATGCAGGGTTCAAGTGTGTCATAAGCAAGAGACTGGTCCCCACTGCTTTTCCTTATGTACGGGAAGCAGACCACATCCCTAAAGCAGCTACTCAGCTGCTCACAGTAGATTCCACCATGGAGTTGATTACCAGTCTCATCATGGGAAATACTGCATCCAGCTGCCCAGCCACTCAACTAGGCCCAGCCAAGTTGACACACAAACTGAACTACCACATACAATAATAAATATGTTAATGAGACAAAAATTTCAGCACACAACATAATTTATAATAAAATAGTGATGAGATTTGGAGAAAAAAAATTGTATCAGAGTTCTCTAGAGTACTTATTTATATGAAGAAAGAGACATTTATTTCAAGGAATTGGGTTACACAGTTGTGGGGGTTGGCAAGTTTGAAATCTAAAGAGCAAGCTAAACCAGAAAAATAACCAAACCGACTGCCATCCAGTTGATTCTGACTCATAGTGACCCCCGTTGGATTTCCATGGCTGAAAATCTTTATAGAGGTAGATTGCCTACCAAGAAGTAGCTGGTGGGTTTGAACCACTGACCTTGTTAGCAGTCAAATGCCTTACCTACTACCCCACCAGAGCAGCTTGTAGAGCAAGCTAGAAGGCTAGAAGTTGAAGGCTTTAGCCTTACAGCAGAATTTCTTGTTCCTCAGGGAAACAGTATTGCTCGTAAGGCTTTTGTCTGATTTGGTCAGGCCCTCTGACATTATCGAGAGCAATCTTCACTTAAAGTTAACCGCACTTACAGAGTACAGCACCATCTGGATAGGTGTTTGACTGATAGTATGATTTTCTTCTTACATGCAGAAGACCCAGGTTTGATTCCCAGACAATGTACCTCAAGTGCAGCCACCACTTTCACTAACAGTAGTAGAGGCTTCCATGTTGCTAACATGCTGAACAGATTCAGTGGAGCTACCACCAAAGATGGCTAAGAAGAAAGGTCTGGTGATCTGCTTCCCAAAACCAGCTACTGTAAACCATGTGGATCACAACAGCCTGATCTGCAGCTGATCATGGGGATGGTGTAGGACCAGGCAACATTTCATTCCATC